TCACTTTCTGAATGCGTCCTATCTTACCCGACATCGGGAGTCACTTTCTGAATGCGTCCTATCTTACCCGACTTCGGGAGTCTCCGTTCTGAATTCGTCCTATCTTATCCGACATCGGGAGTCTTCGTTCTGAATGCGTCCTATCTTACCCCACATCGGGAGTCACTTTCTGAATGCGTCCTATCTTACCCGACACTGGGAATCTCCGTTCTGACTGCGTCCTATCTTACCCGACACCGGGAGTCTCCATTCTGAATGCGTCCTATCTTACCCGACATCGGGAGTCTCCGTTCTGAATGCGTCCTATCTTACCCGACATCGGGAGTCTCCATTCTGAATGCGTCCTATCTTACCCGACATCGGGAGTCACTTTCTGAATGCGTCCTATCTTACCCGACACCGGGAATCTCCGTTCTGACTGCGTCCTATCTTACCCGACACCGGGAGTCTCCATTCTGAATGCGTCCTATCTTACCCGACATCGGGAGTCTCCATTCTGAATGAGTCCTATCTTACCCGACATCGGGAGTCTCCGTTCTGAATGCTCCTATCTTTCCCGACATCGGGGGTCTCCATTCTGAATGCGTCCTATCTTACCCGAAATCTGGAGTCTCCATTCTGAATGCGTCCTATCTTACCGACATCGGGAGTCACTTTCTGAATGCGTCCTATCTTATCCGATATCGGGAGTCACTTTCTGAATGCGTCCTATCTTACCCGACATCGGGAGTTTCCGTTCTGAATGCGTCCCATCTTACCCGACATCGGGAGTCTCCATTCTGAATGCGTCCTATCTCACCCGACATCGGGAGTCACTGTTCTGAATGCTTCCTATCTTACCCGACATCGGGGGTCTTCGTTCTGAATGCTTTCTATCTTACCCGACATCGGGAGTCTCTGTTCTGAATGCTTCCTATCTTACCCGACAGCGGGGGTCTCTGTTCTGAATGCTTCCCATCTTACCCGACATCGGGGGTCTTCGTTCTGAATGCGTCCTATCTTACCCGACATCGGGAGTCTCAATTCTGAATGCGTCTTGTGTCTTGCTATCCGTGGTGTATTGGTAGTTACACTTTTATCTTTTCATATTTCATTGTGTTCACTCATTTTGATCTCTGTACAGTGGGTAGATCGATTTTGATCGCCATTTTCAATTTTTCAATTGTTGTCCCGTATATGTTTACTAAACAATACCCTTGTCTACATCGAAACACTCTCAATGTTGTTTTGAATTTATCAATATGGACTGGAGTTGTCCCATTATAAATTCAATTAACATACATATAAGTGTATTGGCTAAGAGTCAAATCGGAGATCATTTCTTTACCTTTTTTCATTTTTTTCTTTTTTCTTTAGAGCTTGTTCCATTGAGACACGCCAGCCGTTACCGTGTTCATCTCCAATTTGAATTTGCCGCAGCGTTCTGCTATTCTGTTGTGTTGGTACAGAGGTAAAGGTAGCACTTTTATTGAAATACTATTTCTGTTCCTACATAACATTATCGTTAGGATGGACTGTTACAACATTATATTTACATCGTACTAGTCATCGAAACGTCATACAAAACCACATAACACGCGTTCGCTCCCTTTTCATTAGAGCTTTTTTCCTCGAAAGGCGAACGGTTATGTAAGTATATGGTTGTAAACTATTTTGTAGATTACGTTTGTGAAAAGTACAACATACATGTAGATCAAAATGAAATATAGAAGAAGTCTGGTCATGTCGCAGACGGTTGGTATTCCAATTGGAATGTGTTTTTCACCTCTTCTGGTCGATTTGTTTTTGTTTTCATAAGAGCATGAACTTATTGATGAGTTCATCATGACTGTTAACAAAACGTAGTTAAGTCCTTCAATTCCAAATTCAGATGTGACCTAGAGTTACTTGAAAGGTGTAGCCGATGAAGCAGAAGACGCTTACCCTCCCGGAACACACGGTCTTATTTTTCACGGTTGGTTTTGTTAACACTATGGTATTCTCCTTTTTTGTGCTATCTGAATCTAGATACAATTTTAGTTTATTCCAGACTCACTATGAAACTGTTGACCGTGTATAACATTTGTAACGTACCGTAACAAATAGATTTATAATTATAAAGGGCATAAGTATTACAGTGATGGACATAAGTAGTGTAAAGACAATAAAAGATAATTATGAGTACCGATGGTATGTACGTCCCAATTAATTAAAACGTGTCACTAATTAGATCTGAGTTCTATGCCTCGTAGGAAGAGTTTTATTGTATAAGTAAGTACTGCGTCGATGTGGTATGATAGTACAAAACAGTACTCCTGGCTCAGTAATAGAGTATCATAGTCTACGCAATATGGCAAGAGCACGGCACAACAAAACGTATACCCTTTGTACCATGTGTGATGTATATGTCTCAAGAGTATTTTGAACGTTCGTTTTTCATGAAGTCGAGATGTTTTACAATACCCAGGTCTAGATATCTGATACGGTAAATTTAAACTCTGTAGATGGGAACTTGTCATTAGGTCAATTTACCATTTTCAGAACTTGATATCCCACTTGGTTGGAATATATACTAATTAGTATATCAATATGTATGATACATACATGTACCTTGCTGATTTCATACTCTGTCATTCATTTTAAAGCGAAATAAAATGATGACAAAAAAAGTTTCAATTGGTATTTTATATATTGAAGAGAGATAACTTGTGAATTTTATATATTGAGTTTCATTGTTTATTCATTGGGGGAGAGGGAGGGATGAAATTTATTCAGATATATCAGATCTTACAATTTAATCAAATATATCTTCACTTGATAAGATCACATTTTATACATAAATGTATCTTTTTGAAAACTGTGCAAAGTTATCTCCCTTGGATTTTTCAATTGTCAATTTTTGAAAGCAGTTTTAATTGCTGCTTACTCATGAGTTTTAACAGTTTTGAAGAAAAACTAATAATGCCTGCATCTTGTATGAGTGATCCAATAAAACTGTTTTAGTCATATATTTACTGTTTGTTTGATTAGTATTTTTTTTTGTTGGAGTTTTACTTATTTAATTACTGTACCTATTACTTATTATTATTTTTATCAGTATTATTATCTTTGTTTAAGTGCCATATCCTGTAAACCTTTCATAAGAGTTTTTTTTCATTTCTTTGTTATTTTAAACTTATGTTAGTTATAAACTACCGTGATGTTCTCCAATGATAGACTGTTGATTCTAGAGCCTTGTTGAATCTTGTGGTTTTGGATTCTGTCAATAAAAACTCCGCTTTGTATAGATCTCTAGATTGCAACGAAGGTGTATATTATATAGCTTGTGGTATATTTCAAACCTAAATGTACATATAAATGTGTATTTTGTATTGGTCGCACGAAATATATGTGTTATAAAACTTTCAGTGAAAACATTATAAAAATGTATATGTATGTGCATTTTTCCAGTCCACAATCAATATTTTATTAACACAAAGAATTAAGGAAAATATATTTCCTTGGAACGCAGTATATGTATCCTAAATTATCTAATAAGCCGCCAATATTCCATAAACGTCTCAAAACAAAATACGCAATCTAAAAGCATACGCTAACTGACAAATTGGAGTTAAGTCTAGATCTAACTTCTCGAAAATCCAGTGCTATGCACTTGAAGCTTATAAACTGAGCCATTATTTCTCCATGCTGTCCTTTTTTATAATAACATATAATTTGTTTTAACACTAAAATGACTACTTAAAAAGAATAAATACTTACTCGAGATTAGTAACAATCAGAAACCATTTTTAAAACAATATAAATGACTAAACTTTTATCCTGTTGACGTACATTGTAAATGTAGGACCATACCTACAAATCCAGATAACTTATTTACTTGCTTCCTTATAAGGACTTGAAGAGGATAAGCATTAAATTTTACCTATTCTTAGTGTACCACTAGCGTATTATATTTGATTAGCGATCTAGGCAATATTTTATTTCCTTTTTTTTCGTTGAGTAGATAAGTTCAAACGTACTTTATTTGACAAACAAAATGTACAAATGTACAGAATAGACTGGGCACAATTTCAACAGCGAATAAAGTTATTTCCTTAAACACTGTCAAATAAAACGAACACGATATCTACAAGAAATTATTTTCAGCACTGTCGTTGATAAGCAAATTATATTAAGTTTCTTAAAATCTACATTCATTGTTTCCGATATAATTTTTTGTAAATGATTTATATCATATGATTGAAAATGCAGACATGTTGACTTGTTATCTCTCAGCCTTCATGTATACAACCACTTGATGTGTCATTTACTATGACGAACCTTCTATTTGATATCAACATATGCAAACTAAGGCAACCCGCAAATGTATTGAAAACAGATCTAGAGAAGTTTCACATATCTCCGTGTTGGATGACGCCAGTTGGCCCCGGGACAATGTCAGACTTAAATTTTTGCTTAGCCAATCACGTATGACGTCATGATATCAAGGCCTGGATGATCAAACCGAGCAATGCAATCATAACCGATAAGTACTCGATGAGTTGAAAGAAAGGTGTCAATTAGACACAGTTGGGTGGTGCTTCTGTAGTGTAGGGGAAGCTACTCTTGTAAGATGTCAATTATTGTTACGATATCTGTAAAAAAAATCCTTTGCTATCGTTTACATCTCCTCCTGCAATGGCTATTGATTGTAACGTCATTGGTTTGTGTTTACGTACGCGTTGAGAAAACGATGTAATTTTCTCAAAATTTGATGACGTTAATCTCACAAACAAATGACGTAACAATCAATACCTGCTCATAAGAGAAGATACATGTAACTCTGCAATACGCAAAGACGGAATAGCCCACTGTAGGACGTATGTTAAAGTATTACCAATTGTTAAATAAAACATCTGGTTATTTCAGCCTATTGTTACTACCTAATGTATATTTGATCCCCCGTCGTCTTATGACATGTAAAGTATAATCAAGACGCGTACGTAAACCCAAACTAAATACAAAAAGAAGAAGAAAAACTATTAATGTATAGGTGTTCTGGTTTAATTAAACAAAATTGTAATCAATTCAACAACGACAGCATGCATATTAAAAACACGTTTCACAATGACATAAAATCAAATTTTATATGCATGTTGATAATATGTTTACCAATGAAATATGTTCATTTTTTAGTATGATACGGGTGATCTTTTAGGGCGTTTTTTTAAACAAAGAGTTTTTCGGAACACCTCGGGTCTTCTTCTAGGGCCCTGTTTATCCTGGCGGACCTGAAAAAAGTTTATGCAGGCCTTGCAAGGCGTTGTCAAGGATCGCCTGAAAGCAGCATCAGATTACTGAGTCCGATCTTATTTCATAAACGAACAACTCTGGTCCAACCGGTTTAACCGTTTGGATCGCGATTAAAGAAAACGGTCCCGAAGAAAGGTCCGAGGTGTTCCGGATGACAACATGTATTTGTTTATATACAAAAAATGTACGTTTATTTCACTGTAAACAATCACTTGTATCATACTGTATCATCTTCTTCCCGTGAAAAGTTCCAATGTGTTCCGGAGAAACAAATAGTTTGATACAAACTCGAGTATAACCCCTCAATACAAAGGCGATATGTGGTTGTGACATCCAATTAAATAACCCGACTAAACAACATTATTTTGACGGGTCATTAAACAAATTACCTCTCATTTCGGGAATTAAGGCACAGTAATAAACATGTTAATCCAATGGCTCCCTGTTAAATACAATATATACGCATATTTCAATGGAATGCCCGATTGATTTAATCTTTTCAGTTTTGCTTCGCTTTCATGTCTATTTCAGAAAAATATCTCATAAACGGAAAAAAAATACATTTATATATGATATTCAAATGAAAGCCTTAGATCATCGTTTATACACTTATAATACATACACATTCCAACTATAATATATAAACAATATGAGGTAGACGTATGTAGGCTTGTACATGGGGCATCCATGTCAAAATTGATAGATATTATTTACAAAGCATGTTAAAATGTCGAGCTGTTTTATAAAATATGTTCCTGTTCCTCGCGCTAATGAAATAGATGATAGGCGCTAGATCAGGTAAACTAGTTTCTAAAAAAAACATTGTATCCCAATAATCCACAAAAACATTAATGGAACATAAACGTTTATGAATGTGTATTCCTACACAAATGGCAATCGTTTGTGCCTTCAAAATATTTAAATCTTTACAAAAATGTTGCTTGAAATGATAAGTGCAGGTATGCCAGAGTTATCTCCCTTGTCTCACGCACCGACACTCTTCTTCTTCTTGAAATGTGATAACGGTTTTCATTGATGGCAGTAATAGAAATGTTTCAAAACGATGACGAAATTGGATGATGGGACGTTAGTCGGATTTTCTAGTTCCATTGATTAGCAGTGTTTCCCACACTGCCGAATTCCCCTTGCGTCGAAGACGCTCCGAGTCCCAAGTTCAATCCCCCGCCCAACTGCGACCCTCCTAACTGACGACCGCCGAGTCCACCACTTTGAAAAGAATTAGTTGCTGCTCCAGCATTTCCTAATCCACCTGACAGTCCTCCGGTTTGTCCGCCATCAAATCCACCATTCAATCCATTAACTCCACCGTTAAATCCACCATTCAATCCATTAACTCCACCGTTTAATCCACCATTCAATCCATTAACTCCACCGTTTAATCCACCATTCAATCCATTTACTCCACCGTTTAATCCACCATTCAATCCATTTAATCCACCATTCAACCCACCATTCAACCCACCATTTAATCCATTTAGTCCACCATTTAATCCACCATTCAACCCATTTAATCCACCATTCAACCCACCATTCAACCCACCATTTAATCCACCATTCAATCCATTTAATCCACCATTTAATCCACCATTCAACCCATTCATCCCACTATCTAATCCACCATTCAATCCATTTATTCCACCACCAGTGGTGAATTGACGGTTCATAACGGTCCCCCCTACTCTGCTACTTCTGGCTCCTCCAAGTCCAGTGTTTAAGCCCCTGGTAAACTGTTGACGACGCCCTAAACCTGTGTTTAACGCTCCTCCAAACTGACGTCCTCCAATTCCAGCTCCCAGACCGGTTCCTCGCTGTTGTCCTCCGAATTCGAACTGGTCAAGACCATTCATTCCCATACCACCCCTGACACCTAATCCGCCGGTCATTCCTCCGGTCATTCCTCCGGTCATTCCATTTCCTATTCCACGTCCTAACCGACCACCAAATGTCTGACCATTCATTCCTGACAAAAATGAAAAAAGAACATTTTGGTACCAGCCAACGATAATTTAAAAACGCGGCAATTTTTAATTATGGGGAATTGTGTCTATGTATATATAAAAAAGCGCGCATTTACGCACAGTGTTTTCTTTTTTCTTTGACATGTAATTTTTTTCCATTAAAAAAAACTCCATAGTGAATATTCACCTTGCCCAGCTGTTCCTCCTCCAAAGCCTCGTGTTCGTCTGATGTTTGTTGAAGTTCCTCCAAACTGTCCTCCAATACGCTGTCCCCCAATACGCTGTCCGCCTATACGCTGTCCCCCTCTCCCTTGTCTGGCTAACAGGGCGGCCGCTGTAGAAACACATAAAAAAAACCGGTCAAACTTTGTTTTAGGAACAAAAACGGAGGAATGTCTCTAATTGTTGGTTTGGATATATGTCATAGAAACAAATTAAAATAATATCATTTGACGTCAGATTAGTCAGAAATGCATTGATTGTGCAGACTTTTATAACCGAAGTCAAAGTGTACACATAAAAAGAAAAGAAATGTCATGATAGAAATAAGCAACTTCCTCAAGTTTCATTGTTCCGATTCCGGAAAACCCCTATAATCCTGTCTGGAGTAAGGTGTTAGAAAAACGTTTCTTACGTCTGATACCACGTGTCCTGCCGTTCAGCCTATCACAGACCGCGTGAGGAATGTCGGCATCGAACGCTTGATTTGCTCTGCATCTCATCCCCGCTGACTGGCAGATCTGATTTATTCGGCCCTGCAATTCAATTATTATATATAAGAATTTCAACAGTATTTTGTGTTTATTTAAACATTTGTTCACAAGTTTAAAATTTTCTCTCATGTTTACTATTCTGGTATGTGTATAATTAATATAAAAATGCTAACAGAACAGCACCTCAAAATCGTGTTCATTTGAGAGATTGATTCGAAGCCGATATAGGTACATTGTGTTAGGCGGTACATTGCAAGTATAAAACAGCATCATGACAAAACTCTGAGTCCTTGTCTTGTATTTGGAGAAATATAAAGTATGATACAGGTTATTTATATTTATGTTTATTCAAACAATATCAACATAAATAACATGCTTAACCCCTATACAGCACATTCGATTTTTTCAACATTTCACCAAAATAATACAGCACATTCGATTTTTTCAACATTTCACCAAAATAATATACATTTCCTCTGAAATAGCAGCAAGAGATATAAAAAAGACTTATCATATTATTAAAATAGATACCAAGAAATAGACTTACCGAGCACACTCGGGCGATTTGGGACGGATCGCTTTGTAAATGAAACGCGGAAGCAACTGTAGCCCCGCAAACAATCTGAAAGCGTAATTATAATATGTAAATTAGTAAAATTAATTTAGTTAACATGAAAGTAGCTTCAAATTTTAGAGAACATTTATGTTGCGTTTGAACATTGTTCACTTCTGTTGGTGGATTGTTATTTACTACTTGTGTCCCTTAGTAACGTTTTCCTTATTACCTTGTCGGCGATGATATGTTCAGATTTTATCAATTGATATACGGATATATGCACCCAATAATGATACTTTGAAGATGGTTTTCCACCAATTGTGGCATTTTCGGCAATATCAATGTGCATCGTTTTCTGTAATAATTAAAACGGACACAATTTTTTAGATGAGTGGTCTGGTGGAGCAGTGGAAAGCGCATTCGCCTTTCATCAAGACGACTGGGGTTCGATCCACCGATCGGGCGTGAAAATGTATGGGTCAACCGCCGACCACGAGTTTTTTTTTCCGGGTGCTCCAGTTTCCTCCCATATGTATTAATATTCCACGCACCGTTTCGGAAACGCATACTCCTAAATGTATGTCTGCATTCACTTTTGCTACTTAAATGTCAATCATAGTTGTTGAATAGAAATGTCCTGGTATAATTTCCATACTTATTTTAAAACAGAGATCCTTTTTTCTTGGTTAAGTTTTACTAACCATTTATTGTCCAAAATTTGTATTTTAGGAAAATCATGATTTATTGTATAAACAGCAGTATTAGGATAACATTTATATATATTTACATTTGCATGGCATTGTCACTATATAGCCTCTTTGAAAGCTGTGTCGTTAATGGGACTTTAATTACCATGCATCACGAGAGACAGTTCTTAGCGTATGAATACAACACTGACCGGAACTACAATACCAATGTAAATAAACATGACGGCTGCTGAAATATCGCTGGGCATTGTGAAACTTGACAATGTCATTGTAAATTTATGTGCAAAATGAAAATAAAATAAAAAATACTTTTATTACAACAAAAACAAGACCAAGGTCTGCAATATCGTATAAAACGCACATTGGTTGAAATCATCAATGCCGGCAATGGAAACAATTTTAACGCTCATGCAATTTATCAGAAATATCGTCTGCTACACTGCACTGATCAACAGGGGTTCGTTACAAATGTCTGAAATACATATTCTATAGACTTACTGACAGATATGTTACAGAGTCACAGCACACATAAACATTTCAGACATGTCATTTGTAGTTTCACGTGTCTCGCTGCCACGGTTACCTCAGTTTCTGACGACATGTCAAATAACGAGGCTGTTATAGAATCTACCGACTGTAGTCAGATTCCCATACAATCAACAAATAAATTCACTTCTGGATTCTTCACAAAATGAGCAAAGAAAAAAGTTCGATTTAACTTCCAAAAATAACTCCCTCGTGGAGGGCAATGTCGGATTTACGGTGTTCACTGTATTTATCCATGCGCGAAATGTGTTCCATGGGAAAATCAAAACAATTTCAAATCTAACTTTCAGCTCAGATTTCTATTGATAAACTTAAATCACCATATAGAAATATCATATTATGTATTGATACTGAATTTTGGAATAAAATTGAAGTGTTTGGTAAAATTTCAAAGTACTACTTTGTTTGCCAATCAGCACGCAACAAAAGTCGATAAGGCGGGAATTTTAAATTTTAAATATAAATGGTAAGTTAAAAAAGAACATAAGAGGCAGAGAAAATGTAAATAAAAGTATTTTACTGTTTTTGTATGGTATTTATGTTCTATTTAAATGACACAGCTTTGCACGCAAACAAATCATAATTATATCTAGCTCGTCAGAATCGCTGCTAGTTTGTACTGATACTCTAGCGTATATCTTTACCGTCTGAAACGCTGCTAGTTTGTACTGATACTCTAGCGTGTATCTTTAGCGTCTGAAAAGCTGCTAGTTTGTACTGATACTCTATCGTATATCTTTAGCGTCTGAATCGCTACTAGTTTGCACAGATACTCAAGGTATATCTTTAGCGTCTGAATCGCTACTAGTTTGTACAGATACTCAAGGGATATCTTTAGCGTCTGAATCGCTGCTTGTTTGTACTGATACTCTAGCGTGTATCTTTAGCGTCTGCATCTCTGCTCGTTTGTACTGATACTCTAGCGTGTATCTTTAGCGTCTGAATCGCTACTAGTTTGTACAGATACTCAAGGGATATCTTTAGCGTCTGAATCGCTGCTGGTTTGTACTGATACTCTAGCGTATATCTTTAGCGTCTGAATCGCTACTAGTTTGTACAGATACTCAAGGTATATCTTTAGCGTCTGAATCGCTGCTTGTACTGATAATCTAGCGTATATCTTTAGCGTCTGAAACGCTGCTAGTTTGTACTGATACTCTAGCGTATATCTTTAGCGTCTGAATCGCTGCTAGTTTGTACGGATACTCTAGCGTATATCTTTAGCGTCTGAATCGCTGCTTGTACTGATACTCTAGCGTATATCTTTAGTGTCTGAATCGCTGCTAGTTTGTACTGATACTCTAGCGTGTATCTTTAGCGTCTGAAACGCTGCTAGTTTGTACTCTAGCGGATATCTTTAGCGTCTGAATCGCTGCTAGTTTGTACTGATATTCTAGCGTGTATCTTTAGCGTCTGAATCGCTGCTAGTTTGTACTGATACTCTATCGTATATCTTTAGCGTCTGAATCGCTGCTTGTTTGTACTGATACTCTAGCGTATATCTTTAGTGTCTGAATCGCTGCTAGTTTGTACTGATACTCTATCGTATATCTTTAGCGTCTGAATCGCGGCTAGTTTGTACTCTAGCGTATATCTTTAGCGTGTGAATCGCTGCTAGTTTGTACTGATATTCTAGAGTGTATCTTAGCGTCTGAATCGCTGCTAGTTTGTACTGATATTCTAGAGTGTATCTTAGCGTCTGAATCGCTGCTAGTTTGTACTCTAGCGTATATCTTTAGCGTGTGAATCGCTGCTAGTTTGTACTGATATTCTAGAGTGTATCTTAGCGTCTGAATCGCTGCTAGTTTGTACTGATACTCTAACGTATATCTTTAGCGTCTGAATCGCTGCTAGTTTGTACTGATACTCTAGCGTGTATCTTTAGCGTCTGAATCGCTGCTAGTTTGTATGGATACACTAGCGTATATCTTTAGCGTCTGAATCGCTGCTAGTTTGTACTCTAGCGTATATCTTTAGCGTCTAAATCGCTGCTAGTTTATACTGATACTCTAGCGTATATCTTTAGCGTCTGAATCGCTGCTAGTTTGTATGGATACACTAGCGTATATCCTTAGCGTCTGAATCGCTGCTAGTTTGTACTCTAGCGTATATCTTTAGCGTCTAAATCGCTGCTAGTTTGTACTTATACTCTAGCGTATATCTTTAGCGTCTGAAACGCTGCTAGTTTGTACTGATACTCTAGCGGGTGGTATATCTGGATTCGTTTTTGTAAATGAACATAAAACGATGTCATTTTTATCGATCAGGTTTGTGAATTATTATAAAAAAGGCGAGGACCAATATTGTAGGAATGGGTGTGGACATAGTATATAATTGTATGTAGAATCAATGACTACTGATAGACTGTATCAGAAAGCTATATTTATATTGGTGTTTTATCGTCTGCTCATAAGGGAAAATATGTCGCTGCATTACCTTACTGGCACGAATATTCCACACGAGGCGGTCAGAGATGGACAGGACTGACCACAATTATGACCAGCGTGATATACGATGTGTGACACTCCGGGAAATTGATTAGGGTTTTGACCCCGTCTTTGTCCTTTTATAGCAAAATATGTCAACTGATAGAATGTAATACAAGTGTTTCACCGTTTTTACTTATAACTACGGTAGTTGCATTATAGGTGTTTATGATCACTCCCAATCTCGGGTTTAGGTTTGTGATGCCGACCTAATGATGATTAGGTTCTCGCTAATTATCAACTATTTTTAGAATAAGACCAAGGGAAAATATTTAATGGTTAACAGTTACATTGTATATGAAATTTCTTATAATATTCCGCTGAAAACATAGAGACTTTTCATAATCTCTCACAGAAATATATACAGATAATGCCAGTTAACATTTTCTAACAAAAATCGATTGGTATGCAATGATTTTGAAATTACAATATCCGTATGAACAGTTCGTTTGTATCCGAGTCAATATGTCATTTTGACACACAATAAATAAATGAAAAGCTGAAACAAACATTATAAGCTATGCAAGGTAAAACTGCATAAAACTATCTACTAATGCACATATGTATTACAATTTTTAGCGTAAACTTTATTATTTACAAGTTTACTAACATAATGAAACATTCGATATAAATATAGAATTTAAAAAAATAGTTTATAGTTATACATACCGCAAAAAAGAGGTTCACTAAAGATTTCTGCATCTTGACCGGCTGAGGTAGTTCCAACGAATGGTCACGTTATCCTAGACCGGCTGGACACCTTGATACGGATGTCAACAATTTCTACATTAATCAAGTGTGGACAAAAGGCGGGCAGAGGAAACCGGACAGGTGCAAGACGCGCAGGTATGACTTATAGCATCCCGGTCAGTCAGACTAGCCCCGGGCTAGCAGGATTTAACGCATTGATCACCAGTGGCCTATGATCGGGCTTCGATGAAATTACACATGTACATGCTTTCTCCTGTGATGTTTATGATGCGCGTGAATATAAGAAACCACGTAATGTGCGTTGTCAATATTTTACACATTTTTAGAATTGGTTTCTAAGTTTCGGCTGTCATACATGTTTTTAAAATACAGAAGTGTTGTGTTTTTTGTTTTTTTTTACTTATTTGTGCATTCATATATTTATTCATTTACATGTGTGTGCCTTCTTTTCTTTTCTTTTCTTTTAATTTCCTATAAGCAATATGCCAATGAACTCCAACTATACATTTAGCCGTATACAATCGACACACGCTGTATATCATATAATAATGATAATGATAATAATTCGAGGTTCTTTTATACCGCTTTATCACAACCTATAGTTCGTAGGTCGTCTCAGAGCGGTTCACAAATTAATATACCTGGAACAACGGTAGTATTGTAAATGATTTGTCTAATTCAGAAAGTCTGGGGTCTGTAAATTAAAACAAAATCTACCAATAACTTCAAAAAATACTTATGGAGTTTCCAAGTAAAATATTTTCTCACCTTTTCTCCATATGGATACATGTGTTTTTGTTGTCAGCGTGGATAGATTAACAGATTTATAAAGATCACTGAATGCTCCGATAAGTATATCAAAGGATCATAGCTGCGCCCGATTTTTTCTCTCTCGAAAAAACAAAGCAATAAACCAAAAAACTGATGCCCGTTATAATTCATTTTGACTCCGAGTCAAACCGAAAGTGTCCAGACTATAAATATAGGCAAAACAATTAATGCATGTGTCGTTAAAAGATTTCCATGCAAAAAATAAACATCATGAATGTATCTTTGCTGAAATCCTGATTGCATGAATTATTGTTTTGTTTGTTTCTTGTTTTTGTGTACTTTTCCTTTTTTGTGTGTGTTGTGTTTACTTGACCGTGTTAAAGTGTTGTATCATATCTACATTGTTTACGTTTCTACTCCTGGCCGATAAACTCTTTACTTGATACTGTTTGACAGGGAATAATTAAAATGAGTTGTAATTCACAAATCAACATTACGTGCGATAGAATATAGCTAAAATATTCAATAAATGAAAACTGAAATGAAAAAAATATATCCGTATCGGATTTTCACCTCATTATTCACGTGAGATTCAGGAAGAACTGACGTCAAAAATATGGGGGGTGATTAACGCAATTACCTTGAAATTACGTCACATCCGCCATGGATCATTGGTTTATGTTACAAAATTACTTGGAATTTGACAGATCATACAAATGTTTGCACATAATATGCATACCTTCATCATTTAGAGGCTTGTAATGGGCAGTTAATGTCTGTGACCTTGTTTTACATCAGGTAGGTCCCGAGGCTCCTGAACGGTCACCTCTGCTGGCCCACACAGGCTAGGAGTGTTGATAACGGTCCCTGTTCGGATGACCTCATTGTTCACATACAATCACTAGGCCTAGAGATAATCTGTTCTCGCTCAAACATTAATTTGAACATTCTTTATTGCCAAAAATACAGTAAAATGATTGGGCACAGATTACAAGAATCTGAAAGAAAATCAAATTATTTTTTTCAAAATAATTTTAAACGTACAATGTTTATAAAATGGCTAGATATAAATATTTTTTATATAACTGAATGTGAAAAGGAGAGAGAGATAGCTAGAGGATCGATAATATTTTTCATTAACCAATAAAAAAGCACGTTTACTTATTTATACAAACATATGCATGCACACCCATACATGTATATCCATGTGAATTATTGTCTAATTCTGGATGAGTTTTCGAATCTAATATATAATAACTAATGCTTCAGTTTTAATAAGACTGAACATTACTCTATCCAGATTTGATGTTTTGATATCATTTTGGTACATTTTAGTAGTTTCGGGTTCATTTAAGAAGACACAGAGATAAAAAGCAAAGTAAATGTATCATGTATCATCAGCGAATACGTGGGAAAAACAAGGTTGTCATGGTCAGTTACCTTGTTTGTATAAGAGGGACAAGGAACCGGACCCAGGACAGAACCTTGAAAAACACCAGCCTTACGTTTTTTAACACACGAAGTACTGTAGCATTGAGGATAAAAATTGATCAGAAATTCACCAATGTGTTTTGTTTTAATTAATGCGCAAGGCCCCCATGCCTTACACAATAAAACTTCGAGAAATATAACAGTAAACAAAACAAGTGTGTTTCCGGCTTATGAGATAGTTGATACCAAGGCCACATCGATTTGAGAAATAGTTCTTCGGGAATTACCGCACTTAAAATCTGAAGTCGAAAAAAAACAAAAAACCTTTCTTTACATCTCCCCCAAAATATATCCGAATTCCGAATTTTTCGGTCTGTTTTTAATTTTACACTTCGCTTGTTTGGGTTGATTTGACGCTTGAATCGCAAGAAGAGTGAAGCATTTTGATGATGCAGCTGAAAACCGAAACAGAGAGAAAACGTGCCGGTTTATGCCATCCTCGATATTCCAGGGGTTATACTTACGCTCTCTACACCCCTGGAATATGTCATAGCAAAACTGAAGGTTCATTGTGCGCCACCTTGTTGATGAGACTAGAAGACTAGTTCGATCCTTTGATATACATCAAAAGAATCTCGCGGTCACGTAACTGTAAAAATTGACAGGCTTTGAGGTCGGGCGTCTCTCCTTTGTAATCTTCAAAGGACAGGTATCAGCCTAGCGATTGGTCATAATTTTTTCCTGAGACCTATCAAACAGCTATTTCCGTGACATGACATATTCCAGGGGTGTAGAGAGCGAAAGTGAGCGTAACCCTGGAGTATCGAAGATGGTCTATTCAAACGATTTGATTCATTTAATAGGATTTAATAGGGTATAAGTTGACGCTGGCATGGCTGCCTCTATAAATGGTAAACGTAAAATGATCGTATTTTCACTCAAGATCTTTCCAGAATTCGTCCAAGGTTTTTTTCAAAATCAAATACGTTAGGAGATGAAATAACATCTTGTGTGAGCCTTTTCCCGATATCAATTATACTTTGAGTAAAGTAATGTTTTCTTATACTTAAATGACAATGTTGTTTGAGTATTGTTTTACTGTGCCCACGAGTGTTTCATTGAGCGGCGGGATCGAACAAGCCCTCCACCCAAATTCGAATCACATACTGACATAGTCCATTCATAAACATGAACACGTTGATCATTCTTTCATATATATATTTCTATATTTTATTTGTGTGTGACTGTGATCTTGGTGATCTAAATAAGTATCTTCATGTGTGTTTAGATGTCCGTGTAACTTGTTATCACTCAAACTATTAGTATGTTTTTGCAATAGTTTGTTATTTTGGTATCGTTATTTTGAAATTGTTTGTATTATCATATCATTTTCAAATGACTGTGATTTTTTCTCCTCAAGTGATGGGATCAATAAGCATTGTAAAGTTTTATTTTAGTTTATGATATGATTTTTTTTCATTAACTTTAATGTATCTTTCTAAAAAAAATATTTGAATGTTCTTTCATTTAGTTCTGAAACATTATAAGATCAAAACTGAGGAAAGGGGTCCTTAGCAGGTACGTATGTAGGCAGTTCTAGAGATTTTTAGAAATTGTACACGTCGTTTTATATAATACAAAGTTAAAATGAAATAAAAGTACTATTTGGATTGGGGTCTGTATACCAAATATGATAACATAGAACCTTTAAGGACTATTTTTTCTTTTAGAAGAAAGGATATGTTTTTTGATAATGCCAGATATGAATAGAATAGTTAAAACTTGATTTGTTCTGATATCGGTACAGGTGAGAGTGATTCTGAGGTTTGTTTTACCATTCCAGTCATAATTGAATTTGCCTGATGTTATTATTTTGAAACTCAATGCATGTACAGTGAAAAATGGATAACATTTTTAAGTGAAACATTTTATTCCATGTGAGAAATCAAGATATATATTCAACACATCCATTACTTTCCATTATTACAGGTATATTCTTCGTTTGAACGTTCCAAGTACAAATAAAATCTCTTATAAAACATAAAAAACAGTACTTACAGACAAATACCATATAAACTCTCCAATATGAGCACCTTCTTAGGTATTAAAAGCCAAAATTGTTATATTTTCTACCGCTCGCTCAAATTTACCAAAATTTAAAAATTTAAAAAACCCACGAAATTACACCCTTTCGCTCCTGTTTATTTCGAAAATTTCCCGAAGAACTATTTTCAAACTGGTGTGGCCCAAGTGATGAATTTCAATTAAATAGTTTGAAGATTGTCCTGGCTTAAAACAAGACTTCTATTTATATAGCAATGAATTATCTGAATGTTCTTTTTAATTCTTCCGAATTTGAAGATTACACCATCGGTTGTATTGTAAAAGGTATTGTATGAAAAGAATGCTATTATTGGAACACATGAATAATAGACAGGAAAAGGCATACAGGGTTAGCAAAATATGCATTGTACTCGGATATAGTTCGAATTACTAATAACCTATCAAAACGATAACTATTGTTATTTACATCACAGGTATACATGTAATAGAAGTATAAACAGGGGAAAGGCATGATACATGTACATGTAATCAAAATGCCTTATCAGGGATGTGTGTGTGTAGTTATAAAGACAATGTTTGTCGCCGTTTTGTTAAAAGCCATTACTCTTTCAATCATTACATTATACATGTAGTTTAGTTAAGGCATGTTTTCTTTGATGCAAGTCAAAACAACCTGACACAAGTTACAACAGCTTATAAGACTTCCTCTTGCATGTAACTCGTATAATATGGTTTCATAGCACTATACATGTCCCGATAAAACATTTCAAATAATTTTGTCTAAAAAATTCTAAAG